TAGCATGTAAATTAAAACTTTTTCTGAGTTTGAAGTGAATGGAAATAAAAGAAGCCTAACTGATAAGAAAGAAAATATTTGCAGGTTTTGGAATTTAAGTTGCATAGTATTGCATGACAAACATTTCTCCTTGTTTGATTAGGCAGCATGATGTAAGAAGAGAATTTTAACTTACAGCCTGGGGAATGAAGGAAACCTTTCAACCAGCCATAAAAGTTCCATGTGCTCTTAAAAGTCAGACAAATGCAGAAACAAAAGCATAATCTCAGTCCTTGTTCCTTCTGCTTCAGTTGTCTTAGAGCATATTTAATGCTAACTAGAAAAAATAAATAAAGAAACTCTGTCTTATTTCTGGCAAGTATCACTAATAATACATTGCCAGTGTGAAACAACAATTCGTATCAGCATGGAGCCTACCGAAGTCCTAGAGTGTAGGCTGACAAGTAGTTAATTTTAAAGTTATAATAATATAATTTCTTATAAATTAAACCTATAGGCACAGTCTCTGTGCTATACCAGCATGAGCACTGCTGCTTTCAGAGGCCTAAAATTGTCACCTTACACTGCAAGTGGTGATGTAAAAAGGGATGAATGGAACAGAACAGTTTCAGCTATAACAGACTTACAATGGTCATCTAGTCCAACTGAGAAGTAGTTCCTACCATTCAAAATACCATATCATATGGTTGGAACTGAAAAAAAAAAAAAAAAGCCAAGTGCTGCTGAGGCAGAGAGGTTTGGGAAAGAGAAGGAGGTGGAAGGATTTGAGAACTAAAATTTTTGAGGGAAAAAAAGAGCATATAAAGGTATGTATACAGGTATAGAATATGTACATATATGTACGTGTATATACTTTGATACCTACATCACTATGTTATAAATATTTCTTACATATACCATGTTTATGTCCTGTTGGGTGTTTCAGAAACACACCATATGAAACTTCTTACAGACTCCCCCAGATGCCATACTCAAGTACGTGAAGTTTAATTTCAGACCAGTTTGGCTGGTTACATTTACAGAAGTGTATTGGATAGGCCAGAGTCCATTATCAAGGGAAAAGGAAAAGATGTTGGGACAGCAAAGCAGCAAAATCTGTAGGAATGTGGATGGTTTATTTGTGAATTAATAGAAAACTTACCTCTCTAAAATAATAAAACAGCGAGAGTCTACAAGCCTTGAACAACTAAAACTGAACTAAAGGCCAAGTGTAATTTCTTGACTACAAAACTTTATTGAATCAACAAAATTCTCCTAAGTGTTGACCTTCTGATTCCCTGATTTTTTTTTCTTCTACTGACTCAGTTTTCTTCTTATCAAACACAAAACCCTTGTCTTCGATTACCAAAATCATATAAGCCTCTTTGCTGCAGCTCTCCCATTAGTTACAAAGGTGCAAAAGCTTGACAGCCTCTTCCTTTCCCTTGTTTGATTTGGCATCATGCAAAAGCCAGAAAAACTTTTCCGGAGCCAGTGCTCTCAAGGTATTTAAAAAAGAGAAGAATGACTTCCCAAAAATAAACACCAGATTCTCTTTGCCTTTTCCAAACTGTCCTTAGTCCTTTTCTCCAGCCTTTTCTCAAAGTCACAACAGAAAAAAATTAAGTGACAATAATGTATCATTTTTTATTCCTTTCATCAAGCTTATAATCTTAGCACTGTTTTATTCATGTGATAGAGGCAGGGCTGACATATCCAGCTAAAATTTCTTTGGTACATCATAGTCAAAGAAACAATAAGAGTATAATGGTTAATAAAAAGCTGATTGAAACTCGAAGTTTGTCTTCCAATACTAACTCAGGTTATGCCTTCCATAATGCTTAAAAGTAAAAGGCTGCTCTACTCAACAAAAACTATGGCAAACATAGCACTTTACAGGAAGGAGTATGTCAGGAGTGGGAAGGGTGCAGGGAAAAATGGGTGTAACTTGTCTGTAGTAGTGTTTTGCTTTTTCTCATTTGCTTTATCTCTACATCACTCCTTTTGTGCAGCTTACTTATTCTCTGTAGTTAAATGGGCATTTCCAGGCACCTCACTCAAACTGCACTAAACACTGCTCAAAACAATACAGTAGTTTCAGGTGACTAATTAGCAAGGTTTACAAAGTTGTTATCGTTAGAATTGCAATAACTAATAAGAACTTCAATAAGAAAGTATGAGAAAAGCCATGTTTCAACTCTCTTGTGCAATGTGGTGGCTCTTAAAAGAGCCTTTAGGGTGCGGGGATAATGTTCAGGATCATCTAGACGGAACCTGTGGCGGCAGACTCAGGCACGCTCTCCGCGGATGCGGCGGGCGAGCTGGATGTCCTTGGGCATGATGGTGACGCGCTTGGCGTGGATGGCGCACAGGTTGGTGTCCTCGAAGAGCCCCACCAGGTAAGCCTCGCTGGCCTCCTGCAGCGCCATGACGGCCGAGCTCTGGAAGCGCAGGTCGGTCTTGAAGTCCTGCGCGATCTCGCGCACCAGGCGCTGGAAGGGCAGCTTGCGGATC